GAAAGAGGAGAGAGAATTAGCTGGGGGGGGGGGGGAGAGGAAAGAAGAGAAGAGAGATAATTACGAGGGGGAAAGGAGGAGAGGTAGAGAGAGGAGAGAGAATATGTTGAGCGGGGGAGAGGAGAACAGAAGAGAGAGAATTGCGTAGGGGAGAGGAGAGGAGAGAGGTAGAGAGAGGAGAAGAAAGAAGAAGAAGGTAGAGAGAGAATTGATTGGATGGGGGGATAGGAGAGGTAGAGGAAAGGAAGGATAGAAAGAGGAGAGGAGAGAGGAGAAAGAACTGGCTGGACGGAGGAAAGGAGAGGCAGAGAAAAGGAGAAATATAGAGAAGAGAGGGGGAGATAGAGAGAGAAAAAGAGAGAAGAGAGAATTGGTTTGATGGGGGGTGGGGAGGAAAGGTCGAAGAAAGAAGGAAGATAGAGAAGGGAAGAAAGGGGAGAGGTAGAAAAAAGGAGGAAGGTAGAGAGAGAAGAGATAATTTATTGGATGAGGGGAAAGAAGAGGTAGAGGAAAGGAGGGAAGTAGAGATAGGAGAAGAGAGGAGAGAGAATTGATTGGATGAGGGAGAGGAGAGGTAGAGGAAAGGAAGGAGGGAAAGAGAGAGAGAAGAGAGGATAGAAAATCGAGGAAACGGAAGATGAAACAGGGGAATGAATGAGGGAAGGCGATGATGAGGAAGAGGAGAGACTGAGAGAAAGGAGGGAGAGAGAAATGAAGAAGAGAGGTAGTTAAAGGAAGTAAAAGAAGGAAGATGGCGTCGTAAAAAGGAAGTAATAGGAATGGGAATAAGAAGGAGGGAGACTGAAGGAATGGAAGAAGGCAAAGGAAAGAATTTAAAAGATGAAGAAGGGATGAGGAGAGTAAGGAAAATGAAGAGAAAACGAAAAGAATGAAGATAATTCAAAAGGAAGATAACGAGGAGAATAAAGAAAGCGAAAAAAGGAAGAAGAGGGGATAAGGAGAATCATCGAAATGTGAAAAGGAGAGGATGAAGAGAACAAAGGAAAAAGAAGGAGATGAAGAGAATAAAGGAAATGATGCAGAAAGAGGATAAGCAGGATAAAGGAAATGAAGAAAAATGGAGTACCAAATGAGGGGTATAAAGGGAGAGGAAAAATAGGAAGAGAGGTTGAATGGAATTAATGAAGGAGAAAAGAGAACAAGAGGGACTAGAGAGAAACTTGAAACGCGACAAAAAGGGAGAAGGGGAAATGAAGAGAATTAAGGAAGAGCAAAAAGGGGATAAGGGGAATTAAGAAAAGGGCAATAGAAAGAGGAGGGATGGCAGGAATAAGATAATTGAAGAAAGGAAGATGAAAAGACAGAAGATATTTGTGAAATGTTAATGAACTGGAAGAAGCGGAGATAAAAATAATTTAAAAAAAAAGAAAAACAAAACAAAACAGGAAAAGGGAGGAGGAAGAAGAAGAGGTAAGAACGGAGAAAGAAGGACATAACGACGTAGGGAAATAGCTGCAGAGAGATTCGCAATCTGGCATCCCGGGAGAGGATAAAAGGGGGGGGGAGGGTAATTTTTATCGCTAAAGATCTGATAAGAGCGTCTCCTTCAAAGGACTGGGGGCTGTAGGGGGGGGGGGGGGCGAAGGACCAGGGGCTGGGAAGAGGCAGTAGGGGCTTAATTGCCTCTCAATGTTGACAAAACTCTACGGGATCTTGTCGCCGGGTTTCGTTATGTTGCACACGCACCAGGGGATTTAGTCTGCTTTGGACAAGATTCAGAGCGACAGTCATATGGTTTTGTGATGTTCTTGAAGCGAGCGGACATTAAGGCGACGCGGATGAAGAGGAAAACGGGGAAAAAGTAACAGCTTAATGCGCAGATTTCTCGGCAGTGTATATAACTAATCTTGAAATGGGAGCAATAAATTCCATGTTCTTTCTTTCTTTTCTCTCTTTTTGGGTGTGTGTATATATAAATTGCGTGTGTGTATGTGTGTGTGTGTGTGTATGTACATATGTGTGTGTGTCTGTCTGTCTACATCTGTTAGTGAACGTGTGCCTTTACTTTACTTCGTTTGATATTAATGCATTTCTTTCTCAATACAAGGCTAATACATTTCACGTCCTTACTTTCCTCGGATTAGAAAACAAGATCTTAGACTTCACTTTTTCACTTTGAAGTTTTTTGAAGGTTACGTGCATTGTCAACACTTCAACAATAACACATTCTTTGACACAATCACTAAGACCAACAAAGACCCGCGCCTGCCTTAGAGAAAGCCGCCTGACCCCTTAACAGCGCGTCATAATAGTGGTTGTTGTGGCGGTGCTGAGTGCTCCTGAAGACAAGGCAAAAGGACAAGAAATATGAAGGAAAAGAAGCATTTTGGGTTTTTTTTTCGATTATTGGTTGTTGTTAGGGTTATTCGTTGTTATTATTAGATATTTATTGTTATTGTTGTTATTATGTGTTAACATAGCTAAATGAAATAATAATGATGAAAATAGTAATAATAATTACTTTTTTATTCTTATTGTT